AAAGTCCTTTTTTTCCAAATTTTTGATGTCATTTTTCTTCTAGACCCCAGCCTGTAGAAGCTTGAAATTTTAGGAGCTTTTAGACATTAACAAATAGTTCATTTCGTTAGAAGAAAATTTTTTTCCATCTCCACCCCCTCTCAAGTTATCGCCTCTTGAAATTTGTAAAATTTGAATTTTTGACACCTTATATTTCCAAAACCGCAAGCTTTTCCAAATTTTTATAAACGCAAAAAGCTAACGGTAAATTCCATGAAATTAAAAATATAATTATTTCTCTTAACTCACACAATTAACCCTTAAAATCGAGCATTATGTTAACCCCTTTTTATATTAATTTTTGCTTTATTTCAAACACTGCATATATGCGTCATCCTAAATATATGCAATTCTAGAAATAGTTTTGTATATGAATGAAAATAATTTTAATAGTTTGATAGGTATACATAGACTGTATTTAAAAGCAGAATTTTCACTTGTTGAAGGGAAAAGTGCTACAATACAAACCGTTGGTTTGACCCAACTTTATTTTTTTTGTTTTTATTTATTAATCGATAAAATGATCCATTTTAGTTTTGTATTTTCAGCTAATTTTATATAACATTAATTTTGGAAAAAAAAAAATACCCTTGTCAAAAATAATAATAATTTAAGAGAACAAAACAGGATCAATTTTTATAAATACCTGACATAAAATTTCCAAATGGATTTACAAAAGAAGAAGAGAAAGTTCAAAATTTTTGAGTATATTTTATTTTTCCATTTTTTATGAGAAAAACAAATTTCCTTCCAACTCCTTCACTTCTGTAATCTTTCTACTTTTGTTTTGTTTTTTATCTTAAACTATAAAGGATTTTCATAAAAAGAGTTATTTAAGGAAAATCTCAGATTTTTCCCATGGGAATAAAAATATCAAAATATGAAACTAAAACAAAAAACAAACAGCGAAAACAAAAATTTCGAAAAGAAAAATCCTTAAACGGAAGTAAACCTTGTCAAGTACATAAGATCCTTTTTGAAAAGGAAGAAAATTTGTATTTGTAAATTTTGATTTTTTTCTTTTTAAAATTTAAACGAATTTTCAAATCTCTTCAAAATTCAAATTTTTCCGCTCTAAATATTATACGTGGATAAATACGTTAAAACGAAAGTTTATGATGTTTTTGAAATAGTGCATTACGCATTACTAAGAAAATCCAAGGTAGAAATATAGAATTAATTTTGTATAAAATTTTTTTTAAAGTATAACAGCTGTATTTACTGAAAATTTCTATCTAAAATTTTAATTAAAGTCGAATTATTTTCTCAGATCAAAAGAGTCATGTATATGTACTTTCATATTTATGGAATTGCACTAAGAGATCAAGGATATTCGTTAACCCTCACAATGCTTTATTTATCTTAGAGCAAACTAGATAAAAATTCATATTTAATAGGTCTGTTTTAGAGCAGGATTATTTCCAGATCAGCCGATAAGGACAATTTTTATTGTCCTTATCTGACACCATCTGCTTTCAACTCTTGAAAAAATTTTCAATATACTAATTCAGAATTGTATACCAAAAGGGTTGATATATGTATAATTTAATACATGCCTTAAAATTATGACTCAGAACCTTCAAAAATTTGTAATTCTCCATTACAGTTCTTTAAAACACAATGTATTTGTGCCACTATTTCTATCATTTCAATATTATATCAGAATATTACTATATATACATTAGAATCCCTATAGAATCATACAATTCCTAGAGAAGATACACTAGAATCTCTATAGAGGATGGACACCTAATATTCTTTTAGTTTCTTTTATAATAAGGGAATTGAAACCAAAAGTTAAGAAACAAAATTCTTAAAAATAAAATTGCCACTTAAATTAAGTGGCAATTAAATAGATTAAGAATTTTGTTTTATGGAGTGTTCATTATAAAGCGACTCCGCTGTATATTACTAAGACATATTCATAAGAATTCTGTAACACTTAAATACAGGAAAATAATTTTATTTATTCCATATTACATTTAGATTCTAAAAGATATTCAAGATACTATTAAATAAGCTACTATGTAATCGATTAATTTCTACACATTGTGAATTATCGTAAAAATCAATAATGAATAATTATCGTATATACTTCAAGCATTTAAGGAGCATACAAGATTACGTTAATAAAATTAAAATTCACGTAGATATTTTACGATATAAAAACGCTTAATTTAATTTTTATATTAAGAGCTAAATAAACTATTTATAATTGTATATTGAGGTAATGAGATTTTCTTTTATTGCTCTTCCTTCATATTATAAAATTTTGGAATATCGGATATTAAAAAATTTATTACCACCAGCACCTATCCCTATATATACTCGTAAAATGAATAAATTATTTATGATATAACACGATCTACTCGCAAACATTAATCTTAAAAACGCATAATTAATGAACTCAAATAATAATATAATCTTAATTTAGTTTATGATATTTTTAGTTCCCAATATAGGAAAATTATATAGGAAAAGAACAAAAAACTTGAAGGGATTTTATTAAGGATATTAAATTTATTTTTAATCAAAATTATATAATATATGTATGTATGTAGTTATATAAGCATAGAATTCTTGTATTCGCTTATCCTCTTAACAGATCTAATCGATATTTAGTTGATTTAATAAAATTCTATGATTAAACTCTTACTTAATTAGAATATTCGTGCTATAATTAAGTATATATTTTAAATAAACATTTTTTATAATCTAGATCCTTACTATAAATACATATAGATTTAAAATTATAATTAGAAATGTTTATTATATAATTAAGTAGAGAAATTTTATATTGATTTCTCATAAATCTAAAGTATTATGGTAAGAGATTCTGTTAAAAAAATCATTAGAGCAATTTTGATTACGCTTAAGATGTTTCCAAATTAAAATTTTCCATTTAAGAACAAGTAAAAATGTTCCAGTCGGTATAAACCCACTGAATTGCCTGTAGTAATAGCCTGCACCTTTCATTTTTATATATAGCAGTTACTCGATACTTCTGGAGTAATTGCTTGCCTAGAATATATTTACATTTCCATACCTGAGAAAACACCTTCAAATGATTACAAGCTCCATATCAAAAATAATATGCCCTTCACGTAGGAAGAAAAAGGTAGTCTGTCTTCGGAGGAAAAAGATGGTAGTACCTACGTACCTGACATAATAGTTTTCTACTTACATCTTTAAGTGTGAGGTTGTTATGGCAATCAGCATTACCATATGATTTTTCAGAAAGCAATTACATATATACACTGCCACATGCTTAATTTAATTACATAAAATTCAACGGAAGTGGCAGAAAGTTGAAAGGAAGTTTAATCTAACAAAAAAGAATTCGAATATTTCATGCTCTTCTGGATTTCCTTAAAAGCCTATATATTTTAATTTAAACGTCAGGTAAGTAGAGCTATGAAATTGGTTTTATTATAGAGTTTCGCAGGTAGCTAGACCTACTATATAAATAATAAACAAGTGCAAATCGGTGGCACTGCTCAAAATGTTATTGAATTTTTTTTACTTACTTATCTTATAATTTTTATCAAATACTCGTATTTGTGTATATTAAATTGGGTAAAATTGAAAGAGTTTAATAATTAAACCCTATAATAATAATTATTTAATTATGATAGGAAAATAATTTAATATTGAATTTTAATTAGTCTTATAAAATTTGATAAAAATTATTTTAAGATTAAAATGGAAAATCTATCCTTAACCCAATTTCTGGTAAGGAAGTATTAAATTTACTCAAAAGGGTCTTTACTTGTTTGTTCTAAGTTTTAAAGTCCCCTTATTTATTAATTCTACTTATGGGTTATTATCTTCGGTCGAGTACAACACTGTATATAATATAATCATTATTGTTTATTTTCATATATTGGTCCTACAAATTTTCAATATCATTATCACATTTTATATACTTACTATACTCATGTGTGGGTTTAATATGATAACATTTTATAAATTTTAATATTAAAGGTTAATTACTTTGGCACTGAAGGCAAGTTGAATTTGAATTCCAATATTGTTTTTTCATTACTATTTTTATAACACACAAAATGTTTTTTCTATGTATGGATTATTATATTTCATTTTCTAATTAGTTAAGTCGAACACCTCATATACCCAATACAAGAACCATAATATTAAATGATTTATTATCAATTTTGTTACAAAAACGATAACCATTGCTATAGATTGCCAGTAAAATAAAATATTAATTAAAATCGATAAATAATTTTAAATTCAACATTTTTATATTCTTAAGGGGTTTCTTATTATACAGAGGTATTTCTAAAAATAAGTTTTTTTATTTTTAGAAAATTTCGAAGCTAAGATTATATCAAAATTGAATGTATAGTATTTTTTGATTACTTTTAAAAAGGTGAGGGATTAAAAGAAAATCTAAATGGCTAAATAGAAATTTTTCAAGAGATTTTAATTGAAATTTTTAACTGTTATATAAAAATTAATTGTGGTTTAATAATATAAATTTTAAATAATAATTAAAAATTTTTCCTTAAGGAAATTTTGTAATTCCATATTAATAATTTTATACTGTGGTGGGCAAACATTTTTAGGCACTGTTTTAGCCTGTAAGTAAATAATTTCTTTATACAAAAATACGGTATAAACAAGTACGTGTAAGGTCGTATTTTCAGAACCCCATATAGTTTCGTATAATTTCATATAAGTTTAAGAAGCAAAAATTTTACTTTAATTATTTGGGAGCTATCTATCAAGAAGTGAAGCAAGAAGGAGTTCTCAGAATATCTCAGTTGGAGAATATAAATTCGAGTGAGTATAGCTAAGTTTAACTACCTGGGGGTGCAAATCAATAATAAAAATACTATTAGCAAATGCATACAAGAACGTATTCAAGTCTAAAACAGAAGCTATTATGCAAACATAAAACTATTTAAATCCAAAATCATATCACGTAACATAAAATTTAGGTTTTATAAAACTTTAATTAGACCTGTAGTTACATATGGTTTAGAATGTTATTCGCGTACAGCAATTGAAGAGAACACCCTTAGAATATTCGAAAGACAAATACTGAGAAAAATATTCGGAACAATACAAAAAGATGAAAATAGCTGGAGAATCAGATATAATGATGAACTGAATGTTGAATTCGCTGAATTAAATATAATCAGATTGGCTGGCCATGAAATACAAATGGAACAAATCCAAACTTCGAAAAAAATGCTTACTGCCAACCTAGAAAGTAGTCGGTCGCGAGGAAGGTCAAGAAAAAGGTGGCTGGAAGGAGTGGAAACAGACTTACATAAAATGGGTGTTAGAAATCGGAAAAACGTAGCAATTGAAAGAGATAAATGGAGGAAATTAGTAGATGAAGCCACAACCCACACCGAGTTGTAGATCTATGTATTAAATTAGAGAATTATCTCTGCTCTGTATTAGATTCATTAGATTAGAATTTATTGAAATTATTGATTATATGTCCTCAGAAATTAATTTTATTTTGAAATATTCTTGAAAAACCTCACTTTATATATTCATTTTAATTTTTTTGCTTGAAAGTAGTGCAAACAACAGCAAAAGTATACAAGTTAGAAAAACGTATGAAATGGATTTGGTTTTTTATATCAGCTGTTTGCTTAGTTGAAGCATTTCAGTATAGCAAAACAAATATCCCATAGCCAGAAACGGCGGCTATCAGTAGCTATAACAAAAACCATCATCATTTATAGATGGAATGTGAATTTTTTAATATTAAGATAATATTCTGTATATTAATTTTAAAATTCAAAATATTTTTAGAATATTACAAGAATCTAATTTTGATATTCAATACTCAATAATGTTGAATAAGAAATTTAAAGTGAAGCCATTGGAAACAATATTAGATTTCGTAAAGTAAAACCAATTCTTTTCTCTGTTAAACTGGCGAATTTCACCAATAACAATAAATTCAATTTTTCAATTTTTTATAACAATGATTTATTTTATTGATATAAATTGTTTTTAAATTTATCTGTAATATTAAATTTTATTAATATTACATTTAATTTAATAAATTAAATTTTCGATTTTAGTAATACTTCATTTGAAGTTATATTAGTGCAAAATTTATATTTAAAGCCTTTTCTATTTTCTTTTTTTTTTTTGTATAACATTAACCTTAATTTTATATAATGCAGTATTTTTTTTTATATTATATACTTTAAATCTCACATTTCAGCTCAATAAATTTTAAAATATACAATGAACGACTGCTTGTAGATCAAAGCTAGAAAAATCCTTTTTTATTTTTCTTAGGTTTTATGTTTTTTGTTATTGTATCCTTTTGTTTAAAAAATTCTCATGTAAAAATCGGGTTTTTTATTTTTTTTATTTTTTTTTCATATACAGAGCTTTTATAAAAGAAATAGAGACAGAGAAAGAGAGAGAGAGAGAAAGAATAGAAGATAAAAAATTTTAACATTTCATATTAGAATTCATTGAAGAAAAAATTCAAAAAACATATCCTTTTCTTGATTTCAACCTTAAACTTTACTTATTTTTTTTTTTACAAGGATACATACATGAAGGATAAAAATAATATTGTTTCTGAACAAGGTATTGGTAACATTAAAATAGAATTATATTCAAAATTCAGCCCGAATGTTATAGGTATAACTGTTATAATTACGACATAAAGAGAAATTAATCCCCTAACAGTATGCAATTTTTATAATTTAATTTAGTTTTACGTTTTAACTGTTATACTACGAGGTAATTCCCATTAATCCGCTAGAAGTGTGCTATATAGTAACTGTTATATTATAATGGCATAACAGTAAATAATCCTGTAAAAGTCATAAAGAGATTTATGATATTAATTTTGTTTCACAATGATGAAATGTAATGGTCGAATATAATAGCTTAAGGTGATGAAGTTTTGAGAGGTAATATTTTAAAACTGGTTACAAGTTTATTATATCATTTTACATTATTTAGCATTTAACTCAAATTAAATCATTGCATCTCAATATTATTTTACTTATTCGAAAATAGTAAAAGAAGTTTTAGTTTTTATTTTTCTATTTTCTCTCTGTACATTATCTAAATATCTCAAAGTGATGACGATGACAAAGGTTCTCATTTCAGATATGTGTTTAGAACCGATATTTTTCAAATATGCTCTTAGAACTTAGTCATAATAGTTCATTGTTTACGATAAAAAAATCCTGCCAAAAACAAAAATTTTTACTTACTCCTTACATAAAAGGGAATAAAATATTTTTATAAGAATTTCCTCAAAACGGAAAGAATTTTTATTTGAAAGCATTCAAAAACTTTTCTCTTTAGAGGAAGATTATTACGAGCTAATATTTTTTGAATAAAAATTTTCATTTTGGCAATGTTAAAAATTTCGGTTTATTGCTTTTATATTGAATGTGCTACAGCAGTATTCTTCAAGATCTCGGAATAACTTAAAAAATTGTATACCATATTAGAAGTTTGCACACATATTTCTAAAGTTTTATTCGCTTAAATTTGTAGTTGCCTTTCAAAATTATGTGTAATTATTGAATATAGCATACAGGATTTTTGAATAATTTCCACGAATACGAACACGTTCACAAAAAATTCTATTCACGGGTCTACGAATACTTTTATTATGTATTCCCCATTCAAAAATAACATGAATCCTTTAACAGTCGGCCAATTCGATTATAATTTCAAATCATTTTTGGCGTCGATATGTGTTTGTCGCATATACGCCTTCTGTCAATCTATTCAATATTGTATAAAATTTATTATAAAAATGAAATTTGTTCAAATTATATTTAGATTCTTTTCTTCTTTAACTCTTTGATTTTGATAAAGTCATCCTTTATTCTTGTACAATTCAAACCTATTTTTGTTTTTTTTTTATATATATATATATAAAAATGTATCCTTTATTTAAGATTTTATTTTTCTTTTTTATGTTTGTTATTTTTGATATTTCTTTTATGAATGGAATAAAAATAATACAGAAAAAGTTTCAGAAAAAAAAAAGAGTAAATCTAAAGATGCGTTCGATTTAGTACTCAAAAGTGAAAAACGTGATTTGAATTTCTTCTCAGAAAAATCATTCTTTCTTTTTTTTTTCTAATTTTACAGTGTTATTTTTGTTATTCTCGTTTATTATTTTCGTTCTCTTATCCTTTGTATGTTCCAAAAGGTTTGACTTACTTTGAATTTTATATTTCTTCTCTTCTATATTATATTTTTTGTTTCATTTTTATACTTAAAATCCGATAAGAACTTCCGATGTACCTACTTAACAAGTTGAAAGAATCAACAAACATAGATACATTGATGTTGTGTGTGTGTGTGTGTGTGTTAGTTTGTATATTGGGACTCAACAAAGAAAGAATAAAAGCATGAATGTAAGTTTTGTGTTTTTCTTGTTTTAATTTTTTTCTTATGATTTTGTAATCCTTTTGATTGAAAATGACGATAAAGAGAAAGAAAATCTAAGAGGAAGAAAAAAAAAATATGAAACATTTATCAAAAATAACCATAGTTAAAAACGTACTTAAGTGTCAATAACGTCAAATACGTTGTTATCTTTTAGTATTGACATTATTATGAATTTTTCATATTAAATTTATAAAATTTTGACATTTAAATAATTTTGACAGAGTTGAGTATAAGATGGGTTTCTTTCGTATAACAGATTTTCTTAAAAACAAATTTTAATTCGAATCAGGTAAGATAATGGGGAAAACATGTAGTTTGTTTCGAATTTAAATAAAGAAAACAACCGGATATTTTAAATTTATTTAAAATGGAAAACACACCCAAATTTGTTGTGTTCCATTTAAAGGAATATAACACTATACAAGCTATCAGAGTATTTTGGATTAATCCAACCAATAAAAATTTGAATATTCAAGATTTGATGTTTATTTTAACATATAAAAATATTGAGCCATTTAAACCGGAACAAATACATTTATAACTACTCCTCTCAACTAATATTTTAAAAACATTGAGGTATTTGTGCCATATGTGCCATTACAAGTATCATATGATATTCAGAGTATTAAATAACCTTTGATGGAATATTGTAATTATAGATAATAAAAAATCGCAATACTGAAATTACCCTTAATTAAATTAATTTTTAAAACTGTTATAAACTCAAAATGATTCCATTTCTTTTAAATTCCAATTGATTCAGCCTAAGTAAAAAGAAACAAATGAGTCGTATTAATTTTTTCTTATAGATGACTTTAGTTCTCTTATAAATTTAATGACGATTGTTTCATTTTTAAATTTTTGAGCTGAGCTTTGCAGATTTTATAATAGACTTCAATATAAAAACAGCATTTCGCTTGTAAACTATTCACACTGAAAGCTAGTGGCAACAACAATACTTTACTGAAAAAAAAAACTAAAATAATATTAGGTTCGCTGTAATTTATTGTAATACAAGCAAGTTAATGCTAACTTTTTGGTTTACAAACAGATTTATTCAGAGGAAGAAAAAGACAAAAATAAAAATTTCATAGAAAATTTTTCTAATAACTATACTGCACTTAATTATAATTTGTAACTCACTTTTCTGATCAGAGAAATACTCACATAATGTTAAATACTACATTCCTTTTCCAAAAATGTCATAAATCTAATTTAAAATCATTAATGTGAAGGAGTTTCTGACTTATATGCATTGAAACATCTTATTCTTTCTACCTTCTAACATTCGCATCCATTCTCGTTCAAAAATTTTTGAAATCTTAAATTCATAAATAAAGAGGTATTGTAAAGAATTAGCGACACTGAATGCTGGAACACAAATTGTACAAAATTCAATTCGACTATTTTGAAATCATAAAAATGTGCTAACCAAGAAAATTAAAACACTTCAGATCAACTTTAATACCATGATTGATATCCAGTTTTCTGTTCTTCATCTTCTTTTTTTTTTCGAAAAATGATGAAAGTGTTTTAATAAATTGCATGGTCGAAACTATAAATATTTTGGAAATAAAGCGAAATCCAAAAAAAAAATAGCAAGCAGAGAAAAAAAAAATGAAAACATCAGTAATCAATAAAAATAGAAAAAAAAAAGAATAACAGGAAATAAAATATAGAAAAGGAAATAATTTTAAATAAAAGGATTAAAAAAACAAGTATAAAGGAAGAAGAAAAAGTAGTCCATAAATCTTTAGATTTTAAACAAAATCATAAAAGTTCTGAAAAAAGAATACCTATGGAAACAATTTTATGAAATCTTTAAATTTTATTTTGAAATAAAAATTATTTTTTTCTTTTTTTTAACAATGAATCTCGAAATTTAATAATCTTTTTGAATGATATAGTTTCGATGGAAATTGTGACATAGTTAAAAGTTTAAATAGAAAACAAAAAAAATTTTA